TACTGTGTTTCTATGGACTGGAATCTCGTGAGTGCTGACTTCTACTTCCCTTTTGACTCTGGATTGTTTTTGGATGACGACATCGCGTTTTGGACCTGAACTTCTGCTTTTGGATGTGCTTCGACTTGGGACTGTTTTCTGACTTTGTTTTTGCTTGCTTCCACCTTGTTTCTTTGTGTTTCAAGAACTCTGTGACTTTGGAGCAGTTTACTGGAACTTTTTGTTATCCCGGATTAAATCCCAGTATAATCCGGATTATTTACTATTTATGTTTTTTGCATTGCAGTTTGCTACAGACTTTGTTTTCTTGCTAGATACACTGAGTTAAGTGTTTCTAAGCTATTTTTGTTATATTAATAAACCTTGTTTGGACCTTTCTACTTGTGTCTGGCTCCTTTAAGACTTCTGGTTCATGACAACTTCAGTTGGCATGTGCTGAAGATTCAGACTGGGCCAAATGTCTGTTTCAAAATCCTCGTGAGCACAGCTATCAAGGAAAAGCAGTTTGAGGAGAGGATGTACAGAAGTAAAGAATCTGTGGGAACATCCTTTCCCCAAATATGGGGTTTCATGGCAACTTTCTCAGATTACTTTCCCAGATTTTCATACACACCACCACCACCACCACCACCACTCCTTCTCACTAAATTACCAGTATACATTAACAAAGATGAATATGCTATAATTAATAACCTTGCTATATACTTCTAAGCTCACCGGGGCAATATAAAATAGACAAACTGCACAGGCATCTTGTATATTCAAAGACAATGTGCTACTGAAGTTATTTGTAGGGAAGTGCATATCAGTTTATCGGGGGACAATGTATCTGCCCTCTGCATGTGTGCCAAAGAAACAACAGTAAGTATGGGTAGGTTATTTTATTTATCGTGTCAAAAGCAAATTGAGAATACTGTTATAAAGTGTTTGTGTATCACTCAAAGTAAGTGTAAAAACTTGGCATTATGCTAAGTTTCCTTTGACCAGAAACTGGCCACTTCAAGTGCCTCTGGTGTCACTGTATGAAGGTCCTCTATGCAGCAGGGCTTAGACTTCATTATAGGAAGTGCTCTGTGGTTTGCTCTTCTCCACACTCACATGTCATGGGCTCCACTTTATAGCTCTATTTCTTAAGATTTGCTCTGCATCTTGTGGTGTCAGAGCGCAGTCTGTTCAGCGCCTTCCAAGTCACCCAGTCTTCTGTGTGCCCAGGAGGGAGTTTGGAGTAGATGCTATTTTAGTACGGGTAACTGATTTTTGTTTATTCATTTGTTTTGTTTATAACCTTTTTTTTTCTTCCAAATTTTCCCCTTCTGCCTTTATCACAACCAAACTGAAAGGTAGGCTAAGGTGAGGGACAATGACCAGTTCAAGGTCTCAAATGTGAGCCTTCTCAGATCTAGTTCAACTCTCTAACTACTACACTGCATTGGCTATTGATACATTTACTTCCACTTATGTGATATGTACATGCCATACTCATTTAGCAGAAGCAAGGAATTTTTAAAAAATCTACTTGTCTGCCTGACTGCCTACCTGCCTGCCTTCCTGCTGTTAGTACCTAGATGTACAAAAGCTCAAAGGTACACCTGATGAAATTAAATCCCTTCAACTGTAGGCAGCAGGCCTATTCCATTGTATAGCAAATGAAAGACATTCCATGCTGTTACCTTCGATCTTTTCACCTCCACATGAACCTTGCAAATCACAAAATACTTCTTGCTGGGAGGTTGGAATTGAATTGTCTCCACTTACAAATCTTCCCTCCCATTGACATCTAACACATTAAAGTTCCTCAAACTTTTTTTTTATTAAAAACTGGAGCATGCACAAAGCCAACTCAAGAAGAAAGAGTACTTTGTGTCATTCACTTCAACTATGTATCACTAGGACTAGACTCTCATACATATTAGTTTGGAATTGAGTCCTTTTTTACCCTGTGGGACTGACTCCCAAGTAAGTGAGTATATTATTCGTCCAAACAGGTTTGAGGTGTGACAATGTTGCATGAGCTAGTGATTTCTACATCAATCTACATGTCACTTTATTGGAGCCTTGTATAATCTAGAACCATAATTTGTATTTGCTATCATTCCCATCATTCACAGATAGCACGATCAATAACTGTCATCAATGGGGATAGTTTACCACATTGGGAGAGCTCCAAGTTGGGATCGTTTACCACATTGGGATAACTCTACGTTTTACCTATGTTACATTTTACCTATGTTACAAAGCAGTGACAAAGCAATTTGTGACACTTTGAAACATGAAATGTTTGATATTAAAATAAAAACAGGGGTAGAAAAGAATTATTAACCATAATTTTAAAAATCATAAAGGAATTATGCTTTCATGAACCTCATAAGCATGAAGTGCAATCCTAAACTGTAGCTGCATGTATCTGTGATGGTGGAAAGATGCAATACTAGAAGGAAGTCTAGCAAGATGGACATAAAATCATAATTATCTAGAAAATAAAACTAACTAAATTTCAAATCAGGGAATGTATTTTTTTTAAATACAGTAGAAAAATCACCTGAAAAATTACATTCAAAGGAGGGTAAGAACTTATAAACAACCACAACAAAACAAAGCTGACATTACAACAAAGATAACTCTCTCACTTTCTGCTGAAATCTGTATTTTTCTCCCCAGGATTGACATTGAAAAGCAACTGAAAAGTATTCTCTCTTTTGTCCCTGTGAAACAAAAGACTGCTGGCAATAAATCAGACCACGGCTTCAAACAATCCAGACAAGTGACCGTTGCTTCCATGCCAGATATTTGACAAAAGGCGTGGAAAACAAGAAAGCTCAATGTTACGCACCTTAAAGGAATAATAAAAGGATCCCCATTCCTCTTCCACCAGCACTTCAGTGAAACTCACTGTTTCTGTGCAAGTAATTAGAGTTGCATCCAGGTGACTGGCACTTCCATTCAAGCTGTTGCTGTTGGGGGTGACGCTATCGGGCATGGCTTTTCGATTCCTTTCCGAACTGCTCCGGTGCTTCTGGTGACAGAGAGTGAAAGCAGCTGAGCCTTGCTCAGAGGGGCACCACAGCTTTCCTGCACTACCAGTGGCAACAGAGAGGCATCAGGCTTCAAAGCAAAAGGAGCAAAACACATCCACGCTGGAAATCCTCTCCCTCTCCACTCTTAACCCCCAAATCCACACCCCTTCCTGCAGACAGACTTGTATTCCAGATGTTATTTAACTTATGGATCCAATAACGCACCTGGAGTCAGAATTGTCTCTGTACTAGCTCTACACTGTCGCACATCTGAGCTGGCAGAGCCAATATTATTTTTGAAAGCATCCCCAGTAGCAGCAGAAGGAACAAAACAGCAGCATTAGCATCAACAACTGCAATATAAGTCACTGGTGCGTTAACATGTAGCAGAGCCACACATCTACAAAGTACATTCCAAAATCCACTGTGTGATAATATTAACAAAAGAGTAGAAACATCAAGTAAGACATTTGATCAAATATAGTGGATCGGTGCAGATATGAAAGTGTCTTTTTTTGGAATGATCCTGTGCTTCTCCATTCAAGCCCTCCTTCAAAATTATTTGTTGGGATCAAAGGATCAGATCAGTATTACAAACATCAGACTGAGAAATCTATTGAGCCAAGCCTCATTTTCTCATTGGTCCTGTTTCTCTTGTTCACCCCTGTGTCTTTCCTATTTCTTCTGAAAGATCCAATAGCCTTCGGCGAAACAAATGATCAAAGGTAATTGCACAAGGTCATCTGTTTTAACTGTCTGCTCAACTACAATGATTTAAAAAGAAAGAATTGTATTGCCTGAGTTGAAGGCTCGGTGGGTTTTATTAAAAATGCTGTTGCAAAACTTGTAATGGCATTTCCTAGCTACCTGGGAGTACTGTGATCAATCAATGTGCTACCGTGTAGAGATTTCTCAAAGCAAACTTTGCCTTTGCACTTACGTGATCTCAGAATTTGCTGCAGTTACAGACTAGTTTGGATGAACAACAGATAAAAGCTTCACGTTTACAAAATGGTCTGAAGATGTTGTGATTTGCACACTTGCAACAACCCATTTCCACCTTTTCTGGAAATGCTGACACACATCAGATGAGTGTCGCTGGCCATGAGCTGTGATGGCCCTGCATAGTCCGGAAGATAAGCTAGCCTAAACTGCAGTTTCTTAAACATGCAGATCGACCAAGAATTTGAGAAAGTTAGTTTTTGGACTATAACTTCCAGAGTGTTCTATAGAGAATGGCTAGTGCTCATGCTGCCTGGAGGATTCTGGGAATTTTAATCTTCCAGAATAATTGTCACCACGAGGTTGGACTATTGCAACGCCTTATATGCCGGCCTTCTGAAGTCAACAACCCAGAAGATTCGGATGGTCCAAAATGCGGCGGCCAGGCTGCTAGCGGGATCATCTATAAGATCCCATATTACACCAATTCTGCAACAACTGCATTGGCTACCAATAGAACATCGGATCTCTTACAAGATACTGATCCTGACATTTAGAGCTCAAAATGGCCAAGGACCTTTATATCTTAGGGACCGCCTCATTCCTTTTCTCCATCAGTGGTCACCTCGATCCACCCAGGAAAATTTCCTATACATACCGGGCCCTAGGGAGGTACACCTGGAAGCTACAAGGCGTAGAGCTTTTTCGACCTATGCTCCAATTCTGTGGAACTCATTGCCTCCATACATTAGAGCAATGTCAGATTTGCGACCTTTTGTAAAGGCACTCAAGACTTGGCTGTTTGGTTGTGCATTTAAGTAATCAGATCTAATTTGCCAAATAGTCACTGTTGAATGTTTTTATGTTGAATGTTTTTATATTGTGTAAATGCTATTTTAGATTGTAAGTCGCTCGGAGCACCTTGGTGGAGAGCGACTAATTAAGAAATAAAGTGAAGTGAAGTGAAGTTCCAAACTTTGCAACATAACACAGAGAGTTCAGACTAAACACCTTCACCATGCTGAACACATTCATTCCTCTTAATCTGAGAACTGAGTGCAAGAGAGAAGAGGTCTTTTTTATCTATAGAACACCTTCCCTAGAAAATCTTGACAAGTGTCTGCAACTCAGACATTATGGTGCCAAGTGAAGACAAGTTTTGAAACAGCATTTAAAAAAACCAAAAACCACCAAGCCCTCAACACAGGCAATACAATTCTGCTGCCCAGGAGACTAGGACATGGAACAATGGCTTCAAACTACAGGAAAGGAGATTCCACCTGAACATTAGGAAGAACTTCCTAACTGTGAGAGCTGTTCAGCAGTGGAACTCTCTGCCCCAGAGTGTAGTGGAGGCTCCTTCTTTGGAGGCTTTTAAACAGAAGCTGGATGTCCATCTGTTGGGAATGCTTTGCATGCAATTTTTCTGCTTCTTGGCAGGGAGTTGGACTGGATGGCCCATGAGGTCTCTTCCAACTCTATGATTCCATGATTCTAACATTTTCATTCTCTTGGGCATTTTGAGAATGTATTAACACTTCTGCACATTTCTCCTGTGATTCTGCTACTAAGATTAGAAAAGATCCTGTTTAGTGTTGGGAAGGTCCACTAGCATACTGATACAAAGGAATAATAAGGTGGTGTATGTGCAGAGGCGGCCCTAGGTAATTTTCAATGGTAAGCAAACAGTATTTTGGCACCCCCCCCCCCCCAACCAATATATTGATATATATTTTCTGTTCATCGTGGGAGTTCTGTGTGCCATATTTGGTTCAATTCCATCATTGGTGGAGTTCAGAATGCTCTTTGATTGTAGGTGAACTATACATCCCAGTAACTACAACTCGCATATGTCAAGGTCTATTTTCCCCCCAAGAGCGCCTCAAGAGTGCCCCTGGGCAAAATCAACTATACTGCAAATGCTTACTTTGCTTAATGGGTTGAGCCGCCCCTATGTGTGTGTGTGTGTGTGTGTGTGTGCGTGCACATGTGCCGCACTGCAAATTAATGGGGATGCACTTTATAATTCATTATTACAGACACCAACAATCAAATTACACATTCAAATCATATGCAATACATTCCAGAACTGAATACAGCACATATATAAATATCCTGAAATTCCATAATTCCACTAAGACACAAGTGCAGAACTTGCTTGTAGAAATTATCAAGATATGTAGAATAATGGTTGTTGAAGGCAACATCTTAAAACCATAAATGCAAACAAACAAGGTAGTCATAAGTATAAACAAACAAGTTAGTCACAAAGATGACACATACAATCTCACACCGATTCCTTATTATACTCATAAATTAAAATTCTGTTACCTAATTCAAGACGACAAGGGCCTAATGCTGATGCCATGGCAATCATACCTTATTTCCTTCACAGCTCTCTCTCTCTCATTTTGAATGCCTCTTTATACAATTTTGTAAAATGTGCAGCTGGTATAATGCTGATTTGCACCTATATCATGCTCCAGCATTACATGGGAACAAATCACTTTTTGGTTTTGTAATCTGTTTCCCTAGTCCTAGTATCATTGGTTTATTTTCATATTGTATATTTTCCACATACTGTACATCTTAATCATTGTGTAATAAGCAAGGAAGCAATAATATTAATGCTGTCTGAAATCATACTGTTCGTGAACTATATTTCCAAGAACCACATCACCTGTAAAAGGCTGCAAATTATACCATTCTCTTTAAGAAGGGCTATTGGCTGAAATGCCTTGACCCAGAAATAACATTATTTCCTTCTTAGCACTTGGAGTTCTTTCCCTTGCTCTTTCCCCCTGTGGGTTAGTTGTGCCTAATATGGTATATTGATTATGGCTGTCATCCAGTAAGTGGTATATGCTGGTGGTGACCTTGTGCTATTTTTAACCATTTTGAATTCTCATCTCCCTCAGACAATGATCCACATCTCCTGAAAATGTACCTGTTGCTTGTAAAAGTCAGCTTCATGCAGTTACTGATATTTAGCAGCTGGTGGACAGCAGGGATGGGAGAAAAGCATCTAACTATGGCCGTACATTGTGAGGCACAACAAAAACACAATTTCTCTGGACATCCACCTGATGTGTTTGCTATTGTCTCTCCAGAGGACTCAAATGATATCTTTGTCATTTTTTGGCTACAGTGACTTACAGATATTTCTCTGCAAAGCTCTGATGATTCTCTGATGATCTACAGATGGAAGAAATTAAGAACTTTGGCCCAAAAGCTGATGATTGTGCCATCACCGCTCAAGCAGAGAGCTTTGAGATGGTTGAACAGATGCTCTCCAAAGCTTTCCATTACAAGGAAAACCAGCTGATTCATAATCCATCTAAAACACAGACATGTGCTTTTCATCTTAAGAACATACAAGTATCTCGAGCTCTGAGGATTAACTGGGACAGAATCCCATTGGAGCATTGCAGCACACCAAAATACCTGGGAGCAGGCATGTAGCTGGGGGGGGGGGGCTTGGGGGGCTTCAGCTCCCCCCCCCCCCGAAATTCTCATGGTGGTCCGGGAGAAGGCCTTACTGGTACATTATTTAAACTGTTATGTTTATTCATATCATGATCTGATCACCATGCTCAATATATCCCATATGCATGGGGGTATTGGGGTAACGATACAAAAGGTTTGCTAGGGTAGACCCTCCTTCACTCAGACTCACCCCCACCCCCCCCCACCCCACCCCCCAAAGCAAACTCAGCTCCCCCCAAAACAAAATCCTGGCTACGGGCCTGCCTGGGAGTTACCCTGGACCATTCTCTGACATACAAGAAGCACTTCCTAAATATCAAGTAAAAAGCGGGCGTTAGAAACAATATCATACGAAAGCTGACTGGCACAACCTGAGGATCACAACCAGAAACAGTGAAGACATCTGCCCTTGCACTTTGCTACTCTGCTGCTGAGTATGAATGCCCAGTGTGGAACACATCTCACCACGCTAAAACAGGAGATTTGGCTCTTAACGAGACATGCTACATTATCACAGGCTGTCTGCACCCTACACCGCTGGAGAAATTACACCTTAGCTGGTATTTCACCACCTGACATCCGCTGGGAAGCAGCAGCCAATAATGAAAGGATGAAGGCAGTGCCATCTCTGGCCCATCCCGTGTTCAGATATCAGCCGGCACGCCAAAGCTTTAAATAAAGAAATAATTTTCTAAGATCTACAAAGA